ACCCGGGGCTGAGATAAACGCATTATTTCGAAGTTTTTCGTCACGTTCGTGTTTGCCCCAAAGTCGATAGTGGCGTAAGCTCCTGACACAGACCCGCAACGCATCATAGTCGGGCTCAGTCCATCCGTTGTATACAAAAGTGCTTTCGTTCCGACGTGCTGTTTCATAATGTCCCTCAGTTGGCTCTTGTATTCCGTATCGCAATCATAGCTACCATACTCGTTTTCTACCTGAAATTCGATGATCGAAGCTGACATTTCATCCTCACTGAATTCGCAGTCGACTTCGAACGTCCTACCATTTTAAAATGTATAATACATCAACAATTTTAGTTGTTCATAATTTTTAAATTCAATAGCTGCATTCTAAGAGATTAATTGAAGGGTGGGAACATATTGAGTGATTCATTTACCTGAACCATTATTATTGGTCCTCCGTTTCCTCGGAGATATGGCTTCACTCTTTTAAATACTTCGTTCAAATATGTTGTCGCGTATTGCATATATCCTACAAGATAAAAAAGAGATATTTCAATTACCGAAATAACATATTTTTACGCGACGAGGTTTAAAAGTAGTTGGCAGATAAAAAAATAATGCGAGATCGTTACGTGTATCGGTCGAACGCAATCTTATATCCGGTACTCGCGACAGTAACCAGTACGGCAAACCACCCTAAATATAAAATATGAAATCTGACATCCGACAGAGGAATTAAGCCAGCAGAGGCTTAGATGCTAGCTTAATAAATAATTAATATGAACCGATGCTTACTAAGTCTCTTTCTGCACAAATGTAAGGACCTGGTCTCAAAAGGACAAACAGATCCTCCTGTTGGGCAATATCTAAAAATTCTACTAAATCCGCATCACCGGTCCAACGCCACACATCTTCAGTTGGTTGATGAAGGCTCCATTCTACGTAACTACGATAGTTATAATTATTGCATTTTGAATGTAATAGTATAAGTGAAACACTATGTCGATAGAAAAAGAAACGATAATTCACGTGGACACAGCGTTTAATCCAGCCGCTCTCATTTTTCTCAAACGATCCCTCCAATATTGCCTGGGAGTCCGGAAATAGTGAAAACTCCCGGACACGTATCGGAACGGTTTGCCATCGAGTAAAAATTGATTGTTGTCGTAATCGACTTCGAAGCCGAATTTCGACACCGTGTCCTGAAATTAAAAATATTTGTATGCCTCGACGTTCCCAGTTGCATCACGTCGAACTGTCCTCTGCTGTTCGTTATTTCATTAGTCAATCTAATTGATAAAGCGTACCACACGCTATGCAATTTCGAAGCGCGGCGTGATGACCTCAATTATATTTTCCTAAATGTCGACGAATTGGATGATTGAAAAATTATGGTTTATAGGAATTTCTGATTATTATATAAAAAGTAAGTATATGTACAATATGAAAAATAGTATATAACATGTTTCATTTAGATGAATTGAAATTCATTTTAATTATATATATAGATTAAACGTATTGGTGTTTTTTTTTTGTATAGATAAAAATAAGATAAAAATAAGATAAAAATAATTATGGAAATACGTACATTATTGACGTGGACGTTCACTACATTTCCAAGTGCACCGGTCACTGCCAAGGCCAGCAGAATAGACCACATCTTGGCCACAATTTTGATAGTACGATATCTTCGCTACTGAAATACAGTGATTTTTATTCTTCTGTGTAAATTCGTGCTAATGGCAAACGCGATCTGCGATTGCGGCGAAGCGATTGCGGAAATTGAGAAAAATTGAGACTATTTATCAGCATATGCGATATAAAGTGGGATGGAGTTTATAAATCGATTGATTATCTCGTTACTATTTTTTATCTTTATCTTATAATCTAATTTTTTGATCACGGTACGATAACGCGAAATGATGGAACGAGCGCGACGAAGCCGGCAATTCGTCGCGTTCGTACCAGTTCGTCGACGCGACTAGCGACTGGCTGGATCGTTCCGCTGGGGGAGTCGAGTATAAATGCGCACTCTGACCTGATCGAGGACAGGTCGAGATATCACTGACCGATATAGGACGTGTCACGGGCACTGTACTAACCGATGGCTTCAGGATGACTGCGAGCCGGACGGTGCGGTCAGAATGTAGGCGGCCACGCGTTACGCTGACGTGACCGTCCGTTACGTGACCGGCACTACGGAACGAGAGTACACGGGAAACTTACCTGCAGATAATGCCGAGGCCCAATTCGGCCAACATTTGATCCGCTTGCTATTTAAACAGATATCGACCCATTTTTAAATCCCGCTTGACTACCGTTCAAGTGACCAGCTACTTCAAGTACTTAAAGAGAATCGATTTCTATTGTTTCATATCTATTCAAATCAGAGTACAATTTTAAAGATTTTTAATTTTAATGATCACATCGACGGTCATCCTATGTGAATATATGTATACGTCATTAAAATCTAAGATCGACTTTAAAATTGGGGTCTCATTTTAATAGATATGAAAAATAGGAATGTATATTTTATACGTGTAAATAAAAGAAGGTGTTTCCAATTCAAATTCTTTTATAAAATAGTTATAGTGCATTTTTTTATAAGTAGACTCTGATACATGAAAATCGTACAAACATTTTAGAGTACGCACATAACATGGAGATGGAAAATTTAGAATTTAGCTGATATAAGATAACATAGAATAAAAACAAATGAAACAGGTGCTTGTAATTTCCCATTAGAAATCATTATCTCTGGTATCTCTTTTAATTAAAGAGATGACATCGAATTTTTTAAGATATGGATGGTTTACACAATGAATTTATTTATCAGAGTTACAAAAATTAATTTTATTCGTACAATCAAAATTGATATTTTTAAAATTACGTTACAATTAATCAATAGTAAATCTTAATTTTTTAATTCCAATTACATAATATTATATTTAATTTTTAATAGTAAAATCAATTCTTAATTAATGTTATAAGATTACTGTTGCTTGAAATCAATTTAAAACCGGAGATTCTGAGCTTGGATTTTCAGTGGGTGAGACTGATGAAACCGTTTCTGAAACGACTGTATTATATATTAAATCGTCCTCATTTACAGTTAATAGATTGACAGTCACCGATGGTGTATTTAATTCCGAATCGCTTGTTTGCGAGTCTACAGTTCCAGCTGCACTATTTGCAATTGAAATGACGACGGTAGTGAATTTTTCAGATTGTACGCTATTCAATACCGTGGACTGATTAGCATTTACATCCGATGGTTCACTAACATTCCTAGATAGTCTGTCGGTATCATCTATAGTATTATTTGCGAGTACACTTTGATTATCTGATACGTTCATATCTTTATCAACAATAACTATAGTAGTTGTCAATGTTGAATCATCATTTGGAGACGTAGCTAATGTTTCTCTTAAAGATGTAGATTTGCTAACACCCATATCTGCTTCACTCGAGTTGTTATTTAACTGATGTATATCTGAAGTATCATTGCTTTCAATTTTTATTACAGCATTGTTCGATACGTTTGTACTATCAGCTTGGATTATCTCTAATTGTAAATCTGGTTCTATTATCTCTGTCAAAATAGAACTCTCAGTTTGAGAAGTGGACGGTTCTACATTTCCAGACGTTGTAGACTCATTATCATCTTTTCCTGTCACAATTGAGACATTGTCGTTGTCTGAAGTGTTATTCAATTCAGTTTTAATTGCGTGATTATTTAACAGATTTGCATCGTCAGAAAGAATTACTTCCGGCTGTAAGCTTGACGATTCGAATACTTGGTCCTCTTCTATTACGTGACTTGCAGTTTCATGCACAGATGTCTTGTCATTACTTTCCAAAGTCGTGGATACTCCAACACCTGTATCTACTTGAATATTCGAAATTGAGTCTAGACTATTGTTCAATTTAATTAAGAGTGAGGAATTATTCGAAGCATCGACATTGTTATTGACAAGCGTACTATTTTGAGAGCTTGACGCATCGATGATTTGCCGATCTGGTGTTACAGTAATATCAGGCTGTGTACTGAATAATGTAGTTTGAGAGTCTCGAGAATCATTTAAACTAGTTTCATCATTAATAATATTAGTCGACTCGTTGTTATTCAAAATATTATTGGATTCAACTACGATTGTCAAATTATTTGATGCATTACTGCTGTTATTAGCAAGAATTGTTTCCAACCCTTTTGATTCTTCTACAATAATGGAACTTCCATTTTCAGAAAGAGGGGTTGCTTCTTTACTTTTTAATGTGCTAGCTTTAATGGTACTCGAATCCGGCTGTACATTTAAAGTATTAGTAGTTGACTTCTCGTTAACTACAGCACCAAGTACGTCATTTGTGATTTCCCCGTTATCTGATGATGGAATGCTAACGTCAAATGTTGATTCCGATCTGGAACTTGTTGTTTCAATTTGGTCTGTTTTTATCGTACTAGAATCTCTAGTTTCGGGAACCGATGTTGCACTACTTAATGTTGTAGACGCACTAATACTTGTTTGTTCATTCACATTGCCATTTGATTTCTTGCTATCGCTTTCAGTATTATTTATTTCAACTGTAGTATTCGGTTTGTTATCGTCAACGCGGGTTGCGGCTGGAATTTTTTCAGTTTCTTCCACTTTTGTCACATTTGAGCCTTCAATTTTTGAAGAAGATGCTGCTTGATTTCTTGATGTAGTATCAATAACACTTGAATTCTGCTGTACATTTGACTCATTCTCTTTAAGAACGTTGCTCGTGTTGGCTGAAATATTTATGCCATTTACATTCACATTGTCATCGATAGTTCCTGTTTTCGAAATTGACGCCTCAGTAGCTTGATCCGCTTCTAGAATCACTTCCGGAGTTTCGGGAACCACAATTACTTCCGGTTTAGTGTCTTTCTGTTCTTGTACCGTATTAGAGACTTCATTTGTAGAATTCACTGATGATGTAAATGTTTTATTGCTATCTGTTTGCTCGATATCTAAAACACTGTTTACCCCGTTTGAAATTCCCGTGTTATTTGACACATTAGTCTCGCTATTTCCGGTTGGCAATTTCGAGCTTGTAATCCCATTTTCTGTCGGAAGTATTCCAGATTGAGACTCGGATGTACTTTGCTTATTACCTGTTACGACATAAATTCGTTAGTGTATAAAATCATTTCTTTATCATATTGTTAATATTTTTATCATTATTTATTGTTACCTTCTTGATTCGTAATTTCAGTATTGACGTCTTGTTCAACAGGAATTATAGATTTTTGTTGTCCTTCAACTTCTACTTCTAGATTCGACTCTATTTGTTTTTTGCCATCGTCAGAAGACTTTTCTTTATTTGATGAAGGATTATTCCCTTTCTCAGTAATTTGTACGTCAGTAGAGTCATTGTCCTTATTATCAGAAGTCCCCTTATCAACTGTTTAAAAAAATTAGTTTTATTTCTTAGAATCAATTACTTTTAATATTTTATATCATACCTGTACTTTCAGATCCTTTTGAATTATCAACTTGTTCAGGCGTCGAACTAGATGCTTTATTTATTGCTGGTACGAGGTTGTCGCTTACAGGAATTCCAACACTGCTGTTCACCTTGTTGATTGTTTTATGTACACTCTTATTCGACGACTGACCTACTCCCGTTGGAACTTCTTTTAATATATTAATTCGCTGAACATTGCCATTTGGTTGTGGCTTATCTATCCTAATTTTAAATATTTTTGAATCATTTCCATTTTCCACCCACTTGCTTACGTTCTTCCCACCAGATAATGGTGAATGAATTACTGATAAATCTGTCGTGATATTAAATTTATCATTCGTAGCCACGTGACTCTTTACGCACTTCCTTATCTGATCTTCTTGCTCGTCATCCTCAGACACTCCAGGTATGTTGCAAATGCTCATTAATTTTTCTCTATTCAAATTATGCTTCGCAGATAATATCTGAGCCTTCAAATCGATCTTTTTCTTCCACTCTAAGTAACTGTCTCTGTTCCATTTGTACAGTTTGTTATAATAAATCTCCTTCCTTGACGAATTATTGCGTCCATCGATATCACCGTTCCTGAGCATTTCCTGTATCTGCCTGTTGTGTTTCTTTTTCAAAGCGTTCTGTAAGTACTTCTTAAATTCTTCTTCATCAGAGTCCGTATCGTCGTTAGAATCCGAGTCGGATTCTTTTGACTCGCGTTTCCAGAGTTTATTTCTCGAATTGTGTTTATTTGAGTGGCTGTTTCTTGATTTATCCGCAGAACTCACGTCGGAAGAATCCTCCGTCAAATTCGACTGAGAAGAATCATTCTTGTCACGATTCTTCCTGCCACGGTTTTTATTTTCGCGCGAATTTTCCTCGCGCGAACTTTCGTCGGAATTGCTTTTACGAATCCTCAGTTCATCGGACTTATCTTTTTCGTTGGAATTATGACTTCTAGAAATTTTCTTCTTACGATCGGAGGTTTGTTTGCTTTCCTGGGAGTCAGAGTCATCATCGTTAGATTCGAGCTTCTTTTTTATTCGCAGTAACTTCAAAGGAATCGGAGGTCTTCCATCAGTTTCTTCGCTGCTTTTCTAAGGAACTCATGCAGATTGACATCGTCCTGCGATTGCTTCCTGTTATTCAAATTTTTACGCCAATCGTACGGATTTTCTACCCCCAGGCTTCGTTCCTTTTGAATTCTTTCGAGCATAGGTAACCATTCTGATTTATCAAACGGCGCACAATGGACGTAAACAATTGAGAATAGAAGTAAAACATTGATAATACCTGTTGATCAAAATGGAACATTATTTTTTAATTTTTTTTAACAGGATAATAAAATTCGAATAATATTATATATTTTCACTATTTTGATAAATACTAATACGTTTTGTTTATTGAAAATTAGATTCTCGAAACTCTACCTTTCATTTTAAACGACGAATGTGAAAATAGTTCTTGACAATATCTTGTTACTTTTTACTCTTCGACTGTATTCTCGGGGGTCCTCCCTTTTATAGGCATTGTTGCCACCAGATAAATGTACGTTATCGCGTTTTCTAACAAAATTTATGGCTATTGTTCCAATGATTCATCTCATTCCTCATGTAAGTTACGCGGTCGAATGGTAAATAAGTATCCAAAATCTCGTCACTTAAGTTCCACGTAAACGATGAGGTGATAAACACAATTAATTGTTACGACCGTGTTATAGTCACGACTTATATTTGGTATGTATCATGCGATTCACTTTCATAAACAGAATCTATTCATCTTGACGTAAAACGCAATTTAACTGTTTTTNCTAATGTCTTATGAAAAATATGGGAATTTCGAAACGTGAATGCTGCTCGATCGCCCATTATTCATGAATCCCCACGAAGGGCAGCTGTACTATTTTTACCTGAAAACCTTTTAGGTAAAGCCCAGCTGTTCTATAATAAAGAATTCTTCCCAATTTCCTGTATAATCCCCATCTGGAAATATGAATCTCAAAAAATATATTTCAAACTTCCACACTAAAAACTATTTATATTATCAAAAGAGGGAAGAATAAAGAAAAATTTCATCTCATCATTTTATATTAAATGCAGATGAGAGAAAGCAAGCATTGGAGTCACGATAATTTGCTAATAAGTTATCACTGGCGGACCGTTAAATTAATACGTTTATGTCTGCCGCTCTCTTTGATTTTTGCAATTGCAATACGTCAAATGATAGAGTAACCGGGATCATTAGACGGGGAAATACGTGTTAAAGAAACATGTAGCAATGAGTCTTTTATAAGCGGATCTTTCCTCAATGACGGAAGCCAATGAACGGGTCATTGTGCTGATAGAGATATACATTGGTATGAAATTAATGATGAAATAAAAGGCTTAATGTATTTAAGTATTTTATTAATTAATTATACAATTTTAAGGAACCACTTTCCTGTCCATGTGTATATTGTTTAAAATGAATTTATTTCTTTCCTGAAAATTATAAGGATGATAATACATAGATGGTATGTGTTTTATAGTGATGTACGTAATACTTTGGAAGAGATGAAACCACTTAATTCCATTTACAGAATTCCATTCGTAGATTAGTGTAAGACGAGCGCGTTATTCTAACAGCTTCATTCTTCACGGTTCCTTACATCTTTCTAGATTCTTGTTTAGCTCAAATTGGCTTAACGAGACTATTAAATGGTGGGCCCAAACCTTTTTCTCATCAGGGGTTAATACGAGCCAATATAAATGTTACGAAGTCAAGAAGTTCATTTATATTAAAGATTGTCCAAACCCCTATTAAAGATATTACCGGATTAATCATTATCGGTTTGCATGGAACTTTTCGCAGTAGTTATAATATCTCAAAGTTTAGTAAAAATAATTTAAACTTGGTATAAAATTTTATGTCCATTCTTACAATTTAAATTTTAATCAGGATTTATATAATATATTTTAATTAAGAGGAAGAATTGGTTGCAACGAGAACTATGAGTAAGAGATATCTACCCGTTTGCATTTATTCGAAGATAAGAATAAACAACGGTTATCAATACGAAAATGAACAAATACAGTGAGAAATTAAACTTTGCCATTGTACGTCAGACTTAATGTTGCGCAAGTAGAATAGGTATAAAGTTCAATGTACAGTTTGTTCTGTTATTTTTCCCGTCGAATGTTTAGGAAACGAGAACGTCTGTCAATTCGTACCAAACAATTCGACGGTCATCACGGCGACGTTTAAACAACGTCAATTCGACCATTATTATCACATTAACTCGCATCCTACTTTGGACGAATTTTTCCAACTTTGCGGGTCGTTAGACTTTCGTTACGATTAATTTAACACTTGGCACCAGTTTCTCTTCTCGGAACGAATCATCTGCTACCTACATCGCACGTGTCCACATATCCTTTCGCCAAGAGAACGCCTGCACTATCATATAAAAAAATGGGAATAACGTGCAGCAAATGACTAATGTACAAATCTTACGACGTGTCAAGTGCATCACGATTTTTCTATCAATCTTATTATCATCTTCGATCTTAAGATTCGATAGAATCCAGCATCTTGTCGCCTACAACCTTGCCACTGTCAAACCACTTGTTTAGCAACTCGCAATTCTGTTTCGTTCTCAACGTAACGTATGCGTACATTTAGGAATGTGAACTTAATCGGCGGAGTTAATGGAGTCACGTTTGCATCGCAATCACAATTACACTTCGATCGACTGGTCAAGTGTTAAACATTATTTTTTCTACACGTTTACTTTTATCTTATCACAGCCTATTATTATAATTTTAGCAAATGTTGAATAATTCTTTCCAACAATCACTACTTCATTACATATGTAAATATTAAAAATATTTGAAGAATAATTAATAATAAATTTATTATCTAAATAGAAATTAATCAGATGTCAATTTCAATTATATTTAAAATATAAAAAACCAGAGACAGGTTACTTTCAAGTGGTCCCTGAATGTTTAAACTTCATCTTATTGCTGCTACTATAGAAATACAGTACAACGTGTTCCGTATAATTATAACTTACCTCGTAGATAAAGCGTTTACACGTACATATGTCTCTGCATCATTTAAATGTTAAATTAAACTAGTTATGTATTTATTCCGCTAGCTACATGAATATGTATTAGCGATTTTTCCTAATTCCTTAAGAAATGAGTGTAATAGTATGAATACATTTGACACCTGCGAAACAGAAACACTTATCTAATTTTAAAGCACAATGTATAAGTCTCGAGTGTTAAAGAAAAGAAACACTTATGAACCTTGTAACACTCGATGATATACACGAGTGATCTTGCCTGAACCGATCTGTCGTATTATGAGCTTGTCACTCGCAAATTAGAGTACCTCGATGCAAATAGATTTTTAGTAATCGAAGCAATTGACTGAGGGACCGTTTCGAAGCTGACTTATATTTATTATCTTCCATCCGATTATTTGACAGAAATGATTAAAATATTGATTTATTGCCTATGACAGATCTTAAACACTTCCCAGTGCCATTTTTAGGTATTACTAGTCTTATGAAAAGTTAATCAACTTTTATTTAATCATTTTTATAAAGATAAAAGCTCAAGTTTCCTAATTACAAATTGTCATGCTTATGAATGAAAAACGGTTAATGAGTTACACGGCGTGACCGCAAACGGTTACCTCCACCTGAATGTCTCGTACCCTTGTGCTCGTCAGGAACAGTGCGGTCGGGAAACACCGAGGGGAACGTGAAGTGGAGGAGGTGGTGGTGACGGCGGCAGCGGCGGCGGTGTGTGCTTGTGAATAGTTAGATAGGTCTCGTAGCAGAGTCGTGCGACCAACCGAGTCAGTTTCGCACGAGCAACACGCGCGAGCAACACGCTTCCCTTGTATTCTAGTTCATCGGCAACACTCGCGTACTACGCGCGTGTCGACAATAGTGACGCACGGCTCTTTAAATTCTTAAGAACGATCAATGACCAGGCACTTCGATTAACGCGATCCCATTTTGATTCCGACTCTCGCCTCTCGAGACTCTTCCTCCTTTCTTTATTGTCAGGTACTCGTCTGAGATTCTTCGTAGATGTTCGACACGATTCGTGTAATAAAGTTTGATAATATTGGAAACGTTAGTCAGGTTTGAGATAAATGAGCTCGTGAGAATTTAAGTTCGAAAGCGCGCGGTAGATTCGTTTCGGAGCGGTGGCGGTGCAGCGTGTTCGACGCACGAGGTCTGAAAGACGGCGCGAGTCTTCAGAAGTGCCGCGATCGAGAAAGAATCTCGAGGAGCATCTGTTTTCGTGGTGTCTGAGAAAGAGGTAAGGAATGAAGGCACACGCTATTTTCCATCGTGTTTCCTTTATTCGTCAGATTTTTATTAACTTCAACTCTAAATTTCATAGTCTCGTTTGCTCAGCTTTTGCTCCAGAATGAATCTAAAAGCAAAAATCAGGAAGCTTCACAGTTTCTCTGATTTTAGTAGAAAACATTTTATTATTTGACA